TAGAATCCGCACGGGGTTCGCTGCCGGAGCCCAGCCCCAGCCCTAGCCCCGGGGTGCCCAGCGGCATCCCAGCCGGCCAGTCCCTGCCTCCAGTCTCCCCATGACCCTGCAGTCACCTGGGCTGGGGACTCCAGCCAGTGAGGATTAGCCGGGGTTAGAAGCAGGGGCTGGGGCTGTGCAGGTGGGGCTGGGACAGGCTCCGGTTGGTCTGCAGCCGGGCTCCTGACCGGGCAGCTCTGGACGGAGCCCCTCTGGCCCTGGAGTCTCCTCTGCAGGACAGGGAGGGGCAGAGCTGGCGGAGCCCAGCCCTGGAGTTCTCCCAGCTCCCCGCTCACTTCCCGGGCGCCCCCAGCTGTCCCCTGCGCTGCTGCTCTGAGGAAAACAAACCAGAAACCCAGAGCCTGGGGGGGGGGTGCTGGGGGCTGCGCCCCTTGCTCTGGGTTCCGGCCCCTCCCTGGGGAGCGGTGGGTGAGGGGCTGCTTTGCTGCTAACTTTTTCCTGGGAAAGAGTTGTGTGAGCAGCGCCTGCCCAGACCCCTCCCGCCCGGTGGGCTGATGGCCCTGCTCCGTGCAGGCCTCGCTCTGTCTTCTGCTCTGACGGTGTCTCCGTCTCCGAGGGCTCGCTCCCTCCCCTGGGGGCGGAGCGGGCTCTGGGCTTCTGGCCTCCTGTGCAGCTCTGAGCATTGGCCCAGCCAGGGTCCCATGTGAGCAGGTCCCCCCAAGACCTCTGGACAGTTCTGGCTGCAGGGGGTCTGGGAGCAACGGGCAGGGTGTGTGCTGGGTAGAGCGTGTTTGCCCGCTCGGGCCGCTCCCGCGCTGAGAGTCAGAGGCAGCCGCAGCCCACCCGTTGCCCGCCATGTCTCAGATGCTGCACATTGAGATCCCCAACTTTGGGAACACCGTGCTGGGCTGCCTGAACGAGCAGCGCCTGCTGGGCCTCTACTGCGATGTGTCCATCGTGGTCAAGGGCCAGGCCTTCAAGGCCCACCGGGCCGTGCTGGCCGCCAGCAGCCTCTACTTCCGCGACCTGTTCAGCGGCAACAGCAAGAGCGCCTTCGAGCTGCCGGGCTCGGTGCCGCCCGCCTGCTTCCAGCAGATCCTGTCCTTCTGCTACACGGGCCGGCTGACCATGGCGGCCAGCGAGCAGCTCGTGGTCATGTACACGGCCGGCTTCCTGCAGATCCAGCACATCGTGGAGCGCGGCACCGACCTGCTGTTCAAGGTGAGCTCGCCCCACTGCGACTCGCAGACCGCCGCCA